ATTCTTTCTATTTTAGGTAAAAAAATGCACTTTTTAATAATAAATGTAAAGTAATAATGTATTTAAATGTAAGTTTTATACATCATATTTTTACAAAATTTAAATAATTCATCTTTTATTTTTTAATTATTGAAATTTATATAAATATAATGTGTAAAATTTATGTATAAAATTTATGTATAAATAAGTTTCTCATCATAAATGTGTGTATATATATATAATTTTTTTTGGTTCACAATTGAGATAATCAAGCTAATTACAATTATAATTTAAGATTTTGATACTAATATTCCAGTAACAATCACATGACTATATAATGTAACTTATAAAACTTAACACAACTTACTGAAAATAATAAGCAAGAAACGAATCGATATTCGTATCATACTAGCATTCAAAAGCAAACAGGGATTTCACAGAGTAACAAACAACATTCAAGTCAAGCGGAGTCATGGAATCGACCCATTTGTTTTGGTTTAACTTTCTGCCCATTCCAAGATGAGATCATTTTGACAGAGGGTGAACAAAGATGCAGACCCAACCTACACAACATGTTCCCACAAAGCCATTCATCATCAGTAAAAGAGGAGAACAAGGCTCAAGGAGTAATCTAATCCACATATTACAAAGATTCTCAACTTGAAAACGTATGTAGCATATCACTCTAAAATACCCTAGGTCCTATGCCATCTTCCTAAACCCCTGCACCTAGTGTAGCCTATCCCAGCAAACACATTTCAAAAAATAAACCTGTGTCTCCACAGAGGCATTTCATCAAACACTTGATGTGCATAACCAGAATAAGCTCAAATCTTCGTTGGACTTGATAGTAGGAGCATCCATGAAGTGAGCACAAATGGGCACCTGATAGAACCTAATGGAGGGGTAAGTTATCTTGGTTAGATTTTACCGTTGATAATTTTCAAATAATTGCGTCACTTGTGGCAACTGAGATAGAGAAAGTAGCTATAATTTTTAACAGAACTCAATTGCTAGTATTCTTTTAAGGTGTTCAGTTGACTTATTAGCTGATTCCTTCTCTCTAGTTTTTGGATCATCTGGTAATGGAATCTGTTTGCTTCATGGAAATCATTACGCATGGAACAACTCCAACTCACATCAGCAGCATCCTTCAGGTGCCAGGATTTGGCCCAATTCGCTGTCTTTTGTCAATGGTGTTCAGCATATGCCTGCATTTCCTTGGGTACCTTCTGTTATGCTGGATGTAGCATCACCCGTACATCACCACATTGGATCAGGACCACCAGTTAATTCACCATTATGGGCAGGTGACATGCCTATGCTGGGAAATCTCCTGACACCTCCAGTTTTCCCTTGGGATCTCTAGGGATGTTGGATTTCCTGGTAGTTCTCCATCACACCCTGTCGAAATTGCTTCTCACAACATTTTCTCACATGCTGGTGGAAACAATGGTGTGGTATACTCTCCTCAGCAAATGTGTCACCTTTTCCCTGGAAGAAACCCTGTGATATCCATGCCAGGTTCTTTTGAGTCTCCCAATGAGCGTGTGAGAAATTTCTGGCACCATAGAAATGAATTGAATTCTAATAGTGCTGATAAGAAACAATATGAGCTTGACATTGACTGCATCATATGTGGGAAAGACAGCAGAACAACGCTGATGATAAAGAACATTCCAAACAAGTATGTGAATGATTTTCCTGTTACACCAGCTATTTTATTCTCTATTTACTTCATCTTCCATCTTTCTAGTTATACATTTGTCATTTGATTTTAATATTTTTCTTTATGTTGCAACCGTCATATGATGGAACATTTTTTCCTTCACTAAGGTCATGTCTGGTTATACATTCCTAAATTCCTATGGAAATTTCTTACTTTTTAGCCTGTTTTCATAGTTTCATCTAGGAATAGCCAGTCCCACCAACCAAACAAGCCCTGAAGGATCTAGAACTTGTAGATGTTGTGACTAGGACTAATAGCAATTGACTTTGAAATCACAATTGAAATTCCCTTAGTTTTGTTTATATTTTTTACAGTATTACGTTAGTCATTTTAATGACCATGGTCTATAATGTTGTTAAAGTAAATCCAGTGTTGGTGGTGAATGATTGATAATTACGTCATTTGTGATACCATACCTGTTGTTTGAGGCCAAAAAAAAGAGGTTGAAAAAAAAAAATTTGATACCATTCTGTTATGGATACTTTTGCTTCTGGTTTCCCCTTTTACCTTACCTATTTCTTTATCAATCTGATAGCCATTTTATGCAGGTATACCTCAAAGGTGCTTCTGGCTGCAATAGATGAGCACTGTCAAGGAACCTATGATTTCATTTATTTGCCAATTGACTTCAAGGCAAGTAAATTAATTTTTTGATGAGGTTGTCTCCCTGAAATGCCTTAGGCTGGGGTGATTGGAGGTTGAAGATATCCTCATTTCTAACACTTACTATGACCTTATTATGAAAGGGCATATATTTCTTTTTCTAACTTGAGAATTGTGAATATAGTCAACAGAATAAAAGCAACATGGGCTATGCATTCATCAACAGGTTTGATATGGGATTTAGATGTTGCAGTGCTTTTTCGTATATACAAAGTTTTTTTTTCATGTTAATGTTATTAAACCAATTTGCAGGCATTCAATGGCAAAATATGGGAAAAGTTCAACAGTGAAAAAGTAGCATTGCTTGCATATGCTAGGATTCAAGGAAAAGCTGCTCTTATCGCCCATTTCCAGAATTCAAGCTTGATGAACGAAGATAAACAATGTCGTCATGTTCTTTTTCATACTGATGGTCCGAACGCTGGTGATCAGGTAGGTTATCATGTCAAACTAGTGAAGTAGCTCATAAAGTCTTTATCACTTATTTGGTTTGAGGGAAGGGATTGAAATTTTCCTATTTGGATAACAAAAAAATTG